GATCTGACTCAAAGGCAGTGAGTAAGAATGGCTAAATTCACCAAAAATTAAATTAAAAGATAAGAGACAAAGTGAGAAAAGATACTTGCTATATAGTTAACAGAATGATCATTGTTAAATTTTCACAAATTAATAAGAAACAGACAACTCTTCCCAACTGAAAAAATGAGGAAATGACATGAAAAAGCTGTCCATAGAAGAGGAAAATATATTTAATATCACCAATAATTAGGGATATGCAATAAAATAAGATACCACTATTTACTCATCAGATTGGAAAAAATAATCAACTAACAGTATCAAGTATTGCTATGGATATGGAGAAATGATACTCTCATTCTTCTGGTCAGAATGTAAATTGGAATGGACATTTTATGGAGCAACTTGGCAATTCCACCCCGTTGCCATCAAGTTGATTCTGACTCATAGTGACCCTGTAGACAAAGTAGGGCTGCCCTATAGTGTTTTTAAGGCTATAAACCTTTACAGAAGCAGACTGTCACATCTTTCTTCTGTGGAGCAACTAATGAGTTTGAACCTCCAACCTTCAGCTTGGCAGCTGAGCACTTTAACCACTGCACAACCATGGCTCCTTAATTTGGCAATAATTGCTAAAATTGAAAATACATATATTACACAATCCAGACATTCCACTTTAGGTCTTTACCCTAGAGAAATGTTTTTATGTACACAAGTAGCTGTGTATAAGGATATTGCAGCATTATTTTGGTATCAAAATACTGGAAACATCAAAGATTTACATGTATAAAGTTCATCAAAGAAAAAATAGGAGCAAACTTAGGGACCTAATTTATGGCATAAGTAGACTAGCAAACATAAAGAAAAATGCACAAACAACAGAAGATTAACTAGATGACTGGAACTGTCTAAAAATTAAATCCTTCTGCACATTAAAAGACTTCTCCAAAAGAGTAAAATGGGAACCTTCCTACTGGAAAAAAAATATTTTGCAATGACATATCTAACAAGGGACTCATCTCTAAAATATATAGAAAACTTCAAAACCTCAACATCAAAAAGACAAATAATCTAATTAAAAAACAGGCAGAGGACATGAACAGACATTTCACCAAAGAAGATATTCAGGTGGCCAAACAAACACATGAAGAAATGTTTGCAATCATTAGCCATTAGAGAGATGCAAATCAAAACAGCAATGAGTTATCATCTCACCCCAGCAATAATAGCAAAGTTCAACAAGACAGAAAATAACAAATGCTGGCAAGAGTAATGGAAAGGCTGGAACTCTCATATACTGCTGGTGGGACTGTAAAATGGTACAATCACTGTGAAAACATGGTTCTTCCTTAAAAAGTTAGAAATAGAAATATCATTTGTTCCAGCAATGCCACTGCTAGGTATACATCCCAAAGAAGTGAGAGCTGGGGCACAAATAGATAGACGCATTCGCGTGTTCACTGTAGTACTATTCACAATAGCAAAGAGATGGAAACAAACTAAGTGTCTGTCAATGGATGAATGGATAACCAAAGTATGATACATACACACAATGGAATAGTATGTAAAATTAAATAATAATGAAGAATCCATCAAACACCTCATAATGTGGATAAACTTGGAAGACATTATGCTGAGTGAAATAAGTCAATCACAAAAAGAGAAATATTGTATAAGTCCACTATTATAAAAAGTCAAAGAAAGTCAAGATTCAGCAGAAGCTAATCTTGCACAGATACCAGTGATACAAAATAACCGCAATCCTTACAGAAACAACAGAAGACAGACATAGGGTAATCCTTCACAGACAGCCAGACACTGTAAAAGAGAGATCCAACGGATCTACTGACTCAAGACCATAGTATCGGGGGACACTAGACTCAACTGGCACAACAAAATACTTAAAAGTCTTTTCCTCATCCTACATTGGTGAGTAGCAACTGGGGTCTTAAAAGCTTTCAAGCGGCCATCTAAGATGCAGCTAATGGTCTCCCGTCATCAGAAGCAAAGAAGAGTGCAAAAAAAAAAAAAGGGCATTTGGAAGCAATCAGCCCTAGGACACGATGGCCCTTGAGACCAGAGGAACTAGATGGTGCCCAGCTACCAACGCCAACTACTCAGGAAAGAATCAAATCTAGAGATCCTGGATAGAGTGGGAGGAAAAATGTGGAACAAAATAAAAAACTCAATAATGACCAGAATTATTGGTCGGATGGAGTCTGATGAGAGCCCCAATACTATGGTCCTGGGATACACTCTGGGCCTGTAATAAAGCTCACTCCCGGGGCTGGCTCTCAGCTCAATAGTAAACAAGATGTATGTGCAGACCACTCAACCCAGGGTGAGGCACCCACATACTCTATGGAAATGCATCCCTTGGAGCAATCGACCACGAGGCAACACAGGGCAACATTTGCACAGAGGAAATGCAGGACACACAGGAGTGCATAACTGTGAGAGGCATGGGAGGGGGTGGTTACTGGGCAGGGAGGGAGAAGACTGGGTTAGGGTTGGGGATGGTAAATGGGGAGTGAAACTAAATGTACACGTAATGTTGAATGTAAAACAAACTCTTAAAAAAATAGATTGATATTACCCTAATAATCTAGGACAAACTCCCATCTCAAAGTCTGTAGCATGAATCACATATGCAGAGTCCATTTTGCCATGTAATATAACATATTCACAGAGTCTGGGAATTAAGATGTGGACATCTTTGACGGGGTATTTTTCTGACTACCACAAAGTGTCATCGGGAAGGGAAGAATATAAAGCAATATTTAATTATCATTTACTAAGTGCCAAAGACCAAGAAGTTTGCTTAACATTCATAATCTCATTTTGTCCTTATATCTGCCCTGCAAAATAAAATAAAAAGTCAAGGAAAGATTTACTCATGGAAGAAAATTGTCCTTATTGGTTACCAGGCATGAGAGAGGAGGGGAGAGAAAATTGCTAGCTAGGTAAGAGACACAAATTGATTTGGGTGAAGGGAAAGACAATATACCAAAAGTGAGCGACCAGCACAATAACACTAAGGAAAAGGAAGACACGGAGAGGTGCACAAGAGGTACAGACAACAAAGGTAATACTTTACATACAAAATAATTGCATTATCAGTAATAAAAACCATTAATACACTGGTGGATACGTAAGTAGACAGACAAGAAGATCAGGTATGGATAGGCGAATGGGAATATCTCCAAGACCATCTATATGTTTGGCAGATGATATTTCTACATACATATTGTCTGGGCTATAAAAATGTCCATATATACAGTGGAGCTAAGAGGAAGCAAAGTTATGTTAAATTCTTAGCCACAACCAAACACCTTAAGGGAGTGAGTCGCTGGGCCTGGGGGCTAAGGACCATGGTCCCAGGAGACATCAAGCTCAATTGGCATAATAGTACACAAAAACATTGTTCTACATTCTAATTTGGTGAGTAGCATCTGGAGTCTTAAAAGCTCAAGAGCAGCCATCTAAGATGCAACTAGTAGTCTGTTCTCATCAAGAACAAATAAGAGTGAAGAAAATGAAAGACACACAGAAACAATTAGTCCGAGGGACTAGTGGGCCATGGGAACATATATAACCCCGAGACCAGAAGAGCTAGATAGTGCCTGGCTACCATTGCCAACCACACAGGAAGGGATCAGAATTGGAGATCCTGGATAGAGTGGGAGAAAAATGTGGAACAAAAAACAAAATCATATAAAAGACGAGGCTTACTAGTCTGATAGAGGTTGGTGAAACCCCGAGACTATGGCCCATAATCACCCTTTGGGCCTGGAACTGAACTCACTCCCCTGGCTTAACTTCCAGCCAAACAATAGACAGGCCTATTACACCAGGGAAGGAGCTCTGGTAGCATAGTGCCTAAGGTAC